CCCACGATTTTCAAGTTTCTGTATTTCACTGTAGAACTGCCACATCGTAGGTACTACTGGATGTATTCAACCATTCCATTCACACGTGTGACATTTTACGACTAGCTCGGAACCCCTTTGCAGGTGATATTATAACATTAATTAGATATACACCCAACTACAGTAATAAGTGATTCTTATTTACTTAAAATGGCACTTTAAGTACAGTTAAAACTATGTAAGAAATGAAATGTTCTACTCATTAACACCTTAAAGAGTTCTTAGTTAATGCCGTTAAAAGGAATGCATATTATAATTGTTTTTTTGCCATTGAGTAAATTTTATGTTGCTTTTATTTAAGACGCATCAAAGCTAAATACCTTGGAATGGAATGTTTTATTGTATGGAAATATGAACTGCAGCGCCGCAACGGACGTAACGAGAACTAAAAATCGTAACGAAAACTATATCTTGTTTTCAATCCCAAATTAGTTTCTCCAGTGCTAGTTTTAACTAAAGCACGTTGTGACAACTAGTATTACCTGAAAATCAAATATATCAGTGGTAAATTCTAGTTTTGACTAGTTATTTTCAGTTTTAACAAAGGCATTTAGTAAAAACTAATTTTAACTAGGGAAAACGCGTTCTATCTAAAATTAAACAGAATTGAAGAAGCAACATGCAGGCCGGCAGGTTGAGGATGGCTGGTGTGGCAAGTAGAACTGCTGTATCAGCTATCTTCGCGTCTGGACTTCACCTTCACTTAACATCAGGTGGGGTGGAGTCATTTATCGGGCCTATCTATATATAAAAAAACGGTTCACTGTAACATATATTATCAAAATGGTGGCAAACAAGCTTATGGCCCGACTGATAGTAATCGGCCACCATGGCCTATAGACGAATTCGACACCAAAAATACCACTCGCACCATTGCCTACCCTGACCCACTCTCCTAGCCCATCATCACATCATCACCAACCTATTAATGTTCCCACTGCTGGGGCACAGGCCTTCCTTATGAATGAAACAGGAAGATTGGGTCATGACCCACCATGCGGGCCCAGTGCGTATTGGTAGGTGCTAACGACTGCAGATGCAGCCCGGACCAACGGCTTAACGTGCCTTCCGAAGCACGCAGGAGCTCGAGATAGTACATTTTTGGTCACCCATCCAATAACCAATCAAAATGCAGGTGAGCAATTAACGTATAATTTCCCATTATGTAATGACCTATCATTATTCGTTGTTTAAAAGCCGTCATAACTCTCACGGAAATCTTTGTGAAGGACTTTGAATTCTTGATGTAGCTTTTATATCAAAGCGGAATCATTTTTAGGGTTCCTTAGCCAAATGGCAAAAAAAAGAACCCCTATGGATTCGTTATGTCTGTCCGTCTGTCCGTCCGTATGTCACAGCCACTTTTTTACGAAACTATTAAGAATTATACCGTTGAAACTTGGTAAGTAGATGTAGGTATTCTGTGAACCGCATTAAGATTTTCACACAAAAATAGAAAAACAACTGAAACTTAAATTTTTTTTTTCAATTTCATACTTTTATCTATGGATAGGTCTTAAAAAAAAAATTGAGGTTTTTAAATATTTTTTTTTTCTAAACTGAATAGTTTGCGCGAGAGACACCTCCAAAGTAGTAAAATGTGTCCGCCCTGTAACTTCTAAAATAAGAGAATGATAAAACTAAAAAAATATATATATTAATGTATTTTTAATAATTATGTAGGTAATGAAAGGTGACTTCATGAATCATCTCTGAAGTCATTTTTCAACTTGACGACTCTGTAAATGATAAAACAGGGAGAAAAAAAGAGCCCTTGCTGAGTTTCTTGCCGGTTCTTCTCAGTACAAGGTCTCCCGCCGTAGATTTACGAAACGATGGCGTAGCTTCTAGACATTCATATGTGCTTGTAACAGCCTAAACTGAATAAATGATTTTGATTATGATTGATTATTATGGTCATATAATTAGAAACACTTCTTATGAATAAAGAAAGTATAACTTCAACGTACAAATGTTAGTAAAAAATAAACACATTCAACAATTAATAATCATGCAACAATATAAGCCACTCAAATAAAAAACTCATTAGGTAAATGTATATCTTACTTTTAATTACAAAATGAGTATTTCACATGTAAGAGTTTATTTCCTGTTACTGGCCGCTTCGACGCCTAATTAGAAACATTTAAAAAAAGCATCCATAGCTCATTGTTTTTTGGAAAATAGAGAATAACTAGCAAACCAGTGAAGCAAATGTTCACCAAAACCTGATTTAAAAAAAAAAGTATTTAATTAATTGAGAACTTCGGAGTTTTGTGTGGTTTCGTTTGAAATTCGTGATTTCTCGAAAACCGGAAGTGCTACGTTACTCAAATCCGGTTTGTAGTCTTATCAGACTATTCTTAACTTATAACTTAAATATTCTCTTTAGCTATCTCTTACGGTTTGGCCGCTGAAACAGCACCACAGACAGACGGACGGACTAACTTGTCTAATAGATAAGAGATATTTGTTTCTTGGCTTTTTGAAAAACTGTGAAACTGCACTTGTGTAATGGGATTTATATATTTTTTTCTAATAAATGACAAATCATTGAACATATAGTTGTTCTTTTTATTGTTTAATTTCAAAATAATAACGATTGCAGTGAAGTATTTTACATAATGTTGAGGACCGTTGGTAGTGTTTCTAATTATACGACCGCCACTGTATATACTTGAATTTTTGTCATTTTTCGAGTAAAATACTTAAGTACATAAAGAAATGAGACATATTGCTGATTGTTTTATTTTCTGTTTAACTGGAATAAAAATTTTATCATTTTTGTCACTTATTTTTAGTACTATTCTTCTCTATTAAGAAAGGCAAAGGCAAAGCCATGCAGCCATCGTCTTATTTTTGTATTAATCTTCCTTTTTTTTACATTAGAATGTGGGTGTGACGCATTCTAATGCTTCTTGGAGTGTTTGGCACGAAATATATCGAGTTGGCTTTTTCGATAAGCTTCTGTGAGGTAGTCAATACTACAATAAAGTTCTCACGTCCACTTGACCGGAATAGCGTATATTTTAAAGATTCCACTAATTCTTCAGTTGCGCAGACGGTTGTTACACAAAATCACACCAATTTTATTTCACAATATCTACTATGAACAAATTTAAGAATAATTAAAATAAGACGCCAACCGCACGCGATGAAATCCCGTCAAAACCCCCCTCATTGTTGTCACTTCATGTATTCAATGAAGGGCAGCTTTTTTTTTAATAGTTTGACAAAATAATCGCAATACAAGGAAAATATATAAAATATAAGAATGCTACAGAAAATTAAATATCATCACATATAATGTAGCGGATAGTTATTTATGCAATGTTATAATAACATTTATTTTTAATGATATAAGACGAAATTAATAGCCTTCTTATCAAAAATAATGTAATTCAAAAAAGATGAATGAATGATGATGAATGTCTTATAAGTGAAAAGTTTTTTTTTAATGAAATCCAGCATTTGCTAAGGACATGAACATTTGTTCCTAAACAGCACCATATTTTTTTATCCTAACAGTTCCACTTTGTTACCGTAAACAAAAGACGCTGTTTTATTTATTGCGAATATTTTATTAATGATTGAAATACTAGATCTCAAATCTTTGTATAATAAATTTCCATTAAATCAAAAAATATTTATGTATCTAAGTAATTGAGTTTCATTGAGTTCAGTTCGTGTTTTCAACTCATCCCAGTTTTTCACGTTTAATATTTTCGTTTCTTAATCAATTTCTTAAGCTTCTTAAAGCTCTTATATCAGACCTTGCCTTGTTAAAATATAAATTGTATTCCCCTTATTAATAAACGTAGAATAAGCTATGATAAATTACTTCATGTTTTGCCTCTGTTCATTGAATGACAAAATGGCACTTGAGTGCTATAAACAAAACACGGTGTAACTAGTCTAAGCCTAATCCTAGTTTAATAATAAGGGTATATAGATATATAAAGAAGATTAACAACCCATACTTAAGTATTTTATTAACCAAATTGATTTCAAATAGAAACGGATACTTTCTATGTATCAGGACGATGTAGTTTCAAAATATCTGAAAGCTAACTCCAATCTTATTATCTCTATTTATTAGTATAGTAATATATACCAGTCATTCGTGTCTTACTTAAAAAGATGAAATTTCTTGATCTTGTCTCGTTAGTTTTTTGTTTAAGATGTGTCAAAATGATGTTCCATAACAAGTCTCTACAAAAGAGTTCCAATAAAACAAACATTCATATTTAAAGAAACAGCTGACATATAACCAAAACTCTGTGCAGACGTTGAGTCGGCCGAAGGTGAACGTAAATATGATTCAATTCAATGCATTGAAAACGTTCTGCAGTAAAAAAATACACATCTTACTTTAACCCTAAAAAGGGTCCTTTCTTACGGAGTTTTTTGGCGGAAAAAAAGCGGGCGTCGAGATCTCGCGCGATCCTCAGTATTCGTGGCCGAGTGGCTGCGGCGAGCGGTCGCCCCACGACGCAAACGTAATATTCCTACACTCGACTCACGGGAGCGCGGGAAAACTCGATCCCCAAACCCGAAATCCGGCCGGTTCCATTTTCAAAAATAAAAAAAAGTAACATCCATAATCACCAAACGTTATTGGCGATTTTATTTTCGATAACAACCTCCACCGGTCAGTGTTATTATTATGATTCATACAAATTAAACCGCGTATTGTTTTAAAATATTTCGACATTGTCGGAATTCTATTGTGTGACTCTTTAATTGTTTTATGTTTTGCTTAATCTAGGGCTTTGTCGAGATGAACGCGTTCGGGTACACGCATTTATGTCGTGATATAAACAATTTATAATTTCGCGGAGGAGTCGCGCTGTGTTTTTATGAATGTTTTTGCGTATCGGCGAATGGGTGGGGGTTGGGTGGGGCCTTGCTTGACTCGTCCCTCTCCTAGCGAGTATTTTGATTTAGTTTCCGAGTCTTACGCAGATGTGGCAATTTTTTTTCAGTCGCGTGTGGATTGCGCGCGCGGCTACTGCAATTTTGTGCGATTCGGAACTTTTTTAACGAAAAAAAAATAAACATAGATACAAAACTTTTCCGATTTTTCCCGCGCACTCTAACCATCGAGAACTTTTATTTTTCAGGTTGTAAATAGAAGTTTAGTACAAAAGGAACTTATTTTATATATTTTGTCGAGAACTTGTGTTTTTTGGAACTGAAGTGTGTTTTCTGTTTGTGTGTGTGACATTTGGTGGTAAACACGAGTGACATTGTGTGTGAACGCCGTGATTATTTTCCCCAAGTATATATTCTTTAGAATTTGGATGTTCTAGAATAAGGTAAGTGTTCTTTTTTGTTTTTTTTTTGTAGACATTAGTACTATTAAGATCTATAAATATCTTCAAATAATTTTATTAGTGTTTTAGAATATCTTATAGAACATGAGTTTAAGTAAAGCATATCTTTACTTAAAAGTTCTAATATTTAACCAATCCTTTATTAATATTAGTTAATCAATGTAGTACAGAAGAGTTAAAGTAGAAATCCCCTTTTTTAAAATACTTATTAACTTTCATAACTGAAAATATTAGTTTTAACTTTAGATACAGAAACATTATTTTGTCTTAATTATTTTTAATTACAAAATAAGGACAGTCACAAAATCATGCAGTTAGAATAAAGTATAATAACTATCGTGGAACAAAAAAATTACATTTGGGACAAAATCTGAGTACCTTAAAGCTCATTAAGGCAACGTAGGACATTCAATTACTGAAGCAAAAAGTTCCATTAAAACACCAAAATTTGCGGAAAAACTTGAGCCCACTAACAACAAACTTCTTAAATAAAATAAAGGTTGAATCGTGTTTAGGACAAAGATCCATCTTTTTCAATTATTTATAGTCAAAAAGAGATAGTATTAGGCTTGAGCATGATTTAAAATTTGAATTGAAGCTTTAAAATTTGAATTAAGAACTTTGATCCGAGTGAGCCTTGATGTAGAAAAGAACCTACAAGAAACACTGTAGGTGTGTATTTTTTCTTTTCTATAAAAATGTTTCATGGCATTCCGAATTTGTATTTAAATTCTATGTGTTATTAAAAAGAATGAGGTGTTTAAACAGCGGTTTCAGTAATTAGATGAACAAACAGTAGGTAAGTACAAAGCGCAAAATGTTTATTGAAGAAAACTCTTTTGAAAATATTCTTTATTTATTTATTAAATATGTAGAACAACAGTCATTTTTTTACTTAAATGGCTTCTCATAACAATGACAAAATCTCCTAATATCATGAAATTGCCTGAAGCTAAGTTTCCCATTATTACATTGGTTCATTATATGTTAATGAATTCGACACCAAATACTAGAATACTTTTAGATGTAATTTAATTAAGTAGTAATAAATTGTCACTTAATATTTTTGTGACTATTATGTCTATGGATTAATTTTTATTTCAGTAGGTACTAGCGGTTAATACAACTTCATCTTTAGTTTTGCAGAATCCCACAGGAACCTGTCGTTTTGCCAGGATGAAATGTATTCTATGTCTCAATCCAATTCATAAACTATACGCATACTAAATGTCATACAAATCCGTTCAGTAGTTTTTGTGTGATTGAGTAACACACACACAAACATAGAAATACACAAACATACACACTTTCACATTTATAAAATTAGCAGGCAAGTACAATGTAGAGTTGACTTACCTTAAGTCTTTGCAGCTTTTTAAAAACAGCTTAATTACTGTAAACTTACATATTTTCCTGAGTATTGGGAGTTTATTAATATTTCATGTACCGATTTTAATACTCCATCAAAATGCATAATAATAGCTGTGTTCTATAATCAGCATTCATAATAAAGAACTGTATACGTTTTTTTACACCAAAATCACACTAATATTATAAAGGCGAAAGTTTGTGAGTGTGTATGTTTGTTAATTCTTCACGTCTACACGGCTGGAGTGATTTTAATAAAACTTGGTATGGAGTTAGCTGACTCCTTGGATTAACACATAGGCTAAATTTTACTGCGGAAAAATATCCCTAATAACCCGCGGGTAACACCGCGGGGCACAGCTAGTCTGTAATAAAACTAATAAGATAGCCAAATAAGAAGGGTTTCTCATCCCGACTGTTATCAAGTATTAAAATTTGTAAGAAACCATTCTCATAACCCATTGTTAATAAGCGAGGAATAAGCTTAGACTAGAAAAAATTCCACGCGGACCAGGCAGCAGACGGGACTCAAACCCGCACCCTTTGCAATCCGGGCAAATGCACTGACCAATTATGCTACCGCGGCCCTCACGGACCGCGTCGAAATTCTTCTAGCCATTCTTAAGGTGCAAGGCAGCGCCATCTCTCCGCATTATAGGTAACCCACATGATGATTTAAACATGTAGCAGTTACATGCTTTAAAAATAATAAAAATTATAAGGTTAGACTAGTTACGCCGTATTTTGTTCATATTACTCAAATGCCATTTGTCATCCGATGAACAAGAGAAGCTCGTGAGGAGCTCGTTGGCGCAGGTGGTTAGCGCGTTCGGCTGCGATCGTTGAAGTTAAGCAACTTTCGCAATGGTCGGTCATTGGATGGGAACAAAAATGTTCGATTTCGAGTTCCTCCGTGCTTCGGAAGGCACGTTAAGCCGTTGGTCCCGGCTGCATCTGCAGTCGTTAGTAACCGCCAATCCGCACTGGGCCCTCGTGGTGGGTCATGGCCTAATCTCCCTATTCCATGCATAGGGAAGGCCTGTGTCCCAGAAGTGGGGGCATTAATAGGCTAATGATGATGATGATGATGATGAACAAGAGAAAACATGGAGTAACTAATTCTTCGTTTATTAAAAAAGGGGTTACAGTTTTTCTCTGGTTTTCCGCATTGAAATTTCCTCAAGATATCGCAACTAACTTAACAATTGATAATTCATGTGAATTATGTTTTTTGGGTGTGTTATGTTACGTTAAGCTATACTAGAGTTTCTCTGCGGTCTACCTGCATCAGTTGAGGAAAGAGGTTATAGTAAGTCACCTTTACAAAATAGATTTATGCTGTCGTAAACTTTGTTTTTTATATATAAAGTTTTTGTGTAACTTTTACCGTTTACGCACGTAACTTAAGCTCTCATAATGGAGTATATTATTCTGTTTTCGCAAGATTTTTCATTGGCCCTCCGCTTCTCTTTCTCCTCCTTCAATTTCTTTAATTAATTCCTTCCTTGATACATATACCATCGAACATAAACATTTTTTTAATCGGACCAGCGGTGCCTGGCGTTAGCGCATTTAAAACAAAAAATCAAATTCCACAGCCTTATAATTTTAGTATAGATTATACTTGTACTTACTTATATATCAAGTTCCTCCAAAACACATGCAGCTGTTGAAATGACGACACAAATTATACCCAAATTTTTCGCACAAAACTTATGGAAAGTTATTCACAACGGAAAATAAGAATAGCATTTTTTTTTTCAATTTGTAAACATTGGAAGTTGACAGTCAAAACAAATTGTACAATACTTGCAGGAAATTGTTTTCATGATGTTGTTTAGATACGTATTTTTTGCTTGGGTCTAATGAATATTTAAGGTAATTTTATTTCAACCTGGTTGCAACTTACCAATGAACAAAATGAGAAGTTGGTATTTCAATTTGAATATAAATTACTATTCCGATCAGTATACCGAGTTCCTATAAAATTGAATGGAAGTTAGAAAGACCCGAAATTCAGTTTAACGGTACACCAAAATCCTCTTTACTTTGCTACTTTTGCTACCGCATTGCCGAACACTGACGCGGCACGCTTGCTATGCTCGCTCGTCGCTCAATTTCCTTTTATCATAGTAATTATAAATGTATATACCATACAGGCTAATAGGAACAATCACTAACTTTATTCTCTTTCAAATAGTATTTTTTGTTTTATCAAATAATCAAAACATCACAGATATTGTATATTATTATTATTTTTTTACTTACAAGTAACGTCACGAGTCCCCACTGTCACAAACAATGGCGTGCTTTTCTTTATCAATTTTTGCTTGATTGAGTAAAGAAACAAATAAGTGTCCATTATTTTTATTATATCTAACTGCCGGACTAAATAGAATTTCGTTTTATTTATTATATGAAACGCGCTTAAACGGGTTCAAAATGTGTTTTTTTTTTGACATTTCTCACCCTTTTCAGGCTGCATCGTCAAAATTATAAGTATTTATTATGAAATTCTGACAACGCAGTCTGAAAAGGATGTTATACACATTAAATAAGTATAATGATACCAAATTGTTTATTTTATTTACCTTAACAAGAAAATTAGAAAAAAATGTCCGAAACAGTGTTTAATGTTATAATTAATTAGAACATGCTTATAAATATAAGTAACAGTTTCAGGAAATGTTTAAAATAAATTTGTAATAAGTACTGCTTAAAGAGCTTTTGAATTAATTTTGACAGAAAGAGTGTCACTTTCTTTATTAAGATAAATAAAAAAATAAAATAAAATCACACCAAAATTTACGGGTTTTGCAAACAAATATGATGACGTTCTGTTTCGTGTTTGCTCATAATTTATATTAATTACTAATGGTATTCGACAGTTAATATCTAAAAAAATGGTAAATTGAATTTTATTAAACGTATAAAAAGCAGCTAAAAAACAGTACCGTAAAAGCGGATTATATTGATCAAAGAAGTTGCCTAAGTGGTGATGAAGTCCAAACGTGAAGGTACAGCAGTTATAAACTGCCACACCAACCATCCTCACCTTGCCGGGCTACAAAAATGCTTCTTCACGCCTCTCTTAAACGACCCCAGACTGTAGGAAAGAGGGAACTGTTTGTGTTGGATAGTGTGTGCATGTGCAAGAAGGCTATATAACAACGCTACGTACTAATAGAAGCGGAGCACCAATGAAAAATGTTACAAAAACGGGAAAAAAGATTTCATTTGTGAGCTTCCGTTGCGTGCGCTGCGCGTGCGTAAACATTACAGAAAAGTCAATGTACGTTGTAATGATCCTCTTTAAAATGTGTTTATAATCTATGGACAACCTTTAACCTTTTTCTTTAAAAAATAATATTATTTTTTAATTATTTAATTCTTGACAAAAATCCACAGCATTTTCTTAATATAATACAGTTTTTATAATATAGTTTATCTCAATGCCAATTACGGATTTTCATTTTTTAGTTATAGCATAAAAGTTTAGAAAAGAGAAGCGTGTAAAACCGCAGGGCAACCCTAGTCTTGTATACAAATACACCAGATTCACTTGCAGCAAGAATGGACCCAGACGGACTGTTCAAGCAGTTCATACCAACTGC